ACTGAGGGTTGCGATCTGTTGCCGGACACGGAAAAAGACAAAAAGGAAAAAAAAAAAGAGATAAATAATTAAACCTGTTCTGTAGATTTCCCGGCGGGGGGAGGATATTGAGAACACTGATTTTTAATATGGCTATCTTGATCTCATTCTTTAGACTATCTTAAGTGGCAATATGAGGGCACTTCAAAAAGTTCGTGGAAAAAATAGAATTGAAAGATAATATGCATCTTTCTGTGAACTTTTTGAAGTGCCCTCATATAACTTCTTTAAAGGATGGATTTGATTTTGGTTAAAGAACCATCAGTGAAGCTAGTTGATGCCATATCTGAACAATTAAATGGCTAATTAGGATTAGTGATTCTGGTTTTGGTCAAAGGGAGGTATGACTACGAACACAACCCATGTAAAACTATGTATGCATACGGGCAAAGGTAAAACTTGGAAAATAAACGCAATTATATTAAGGTTACAGAAATGTGACTGAAAGTTTTTTTCAAGCTTTCTCTTATTTTTGGTAGGAGTTGCATCAGCAGTGGTATTATTAAACAAGAGCACTATCTATAATCTATCATTTATTATGTACCAGACCTTGACCACATATACTTACCTAATAATAATAAAATTAGGTTAAACATTTTTGTTAAAATAGAAACGTAAGAGAAAAATTTTAATGTGACTTTTTGTTTTTTGGTTTTGTTTTTTATGCTGGCTTCTAAAGGCATTTCCAAAGGAGGAATTTGAAAGAAATGTTTGGGGCAGTGGTAGCACAAGTAATATGTAACGCAGTGGTGTAGGGTGGGTTGTAGGTCTATGTTAGAGTTCCCTGGGAACATCTACAATATTGATATATTTTGACCTACCCTATTTCCAGTTTGCCAACCCCCCGGCCGCTGATGTTTGGGGCAGTGGTAGCACAAGTAATATGTAACGCAGTGGTGTAGGGTGGGTTGTAGGTCTACGTTAGAGTTCCCTGGGAACATCTACAATATTGATATATTTTGACCTACCCTATTTCCAGTTTGCCAACCCCCCGGCCGCTGATATGATATGTGGTGTGGGGTGCTCTCAGGCACAAGTGTTCTATAAGAGATGTCCAGGTGATTCTGATTCACCTCCACCTAAGAAGCACTGTCTAGACCAATGTTTCTCTATCCTCTTTCTCATTATCAGCTCTGATAAGGAGCCTTTTTAGACATTGCTTTTCTAATCACACCCCTGTCCATCAATTTTAATACCACAGGTACAGTGTATATCTGCTGATGTACTGTATGGGTGTCTGCACGGTATACATTAGAAACAGTAAGCTTTTGTTCCCTCTAAGGATTAATATTCACCCTCCTGTGGTCAATATCGCCCCCCCTCACCCCCCATTGAGAATGCATGATCTAGGGCTTTCCAATGTGAGTACTTTGAAGACCACACTGGAGTGGATGTCTGTTACCTGAATATAAGTATAAAGTCAGCCCGTTTGTTAGCCTTCAGTCACATTACTACGTAGATCAGACCTCTTTCATCTTCTTTCTCATTAGCGTTTGTTATGTTTTGTTTGGTTATTTCTTTGCTTTGCAGCAACCAGCCTATTCTCAGTCTTCTGCCTTCACTAAGCTTGTTCATCTCACCTTCTTGGTTATTCTTCTACATGTGCATTTGGTTCCTCCTGCTGTTCACGTCCCCTGTCCTCTGTGTGGCTCAGTTCTCTTTGGGGGCTTCTTTAGGTATGGGTCTCATCTCTTACATTGACCCTGCCTTAATTGTGACCCAGGGGGACACAGGCTGTTTTTATTCCCTCGTCATTGTATTATATGCAACATGTTTCCACTGCAAATCCTTGTCTCGGTTTATGATCTTCTTCCTAGATATGGGGACATGAGAAAGGAAATCGGCTTTAGGATCCGGGACATGTGGTATAACCTAGGTGAGTGTTTAATAACCTTGAGCAAGCCCAAGCATCCCACAATGAGTTCTTTTTTATTTTAATTCATGTAACCCTGACATTTATTTGTGTGTGCATGTCTAGATGTGAGGGTTGGCTTGAGAGTTTTACACCCTCATCTCCGCTGGGACATTGACAATGAACTTCTCTTATTAAGTCACCCCCACGCCATCAGAATACCATGTTAGTCACTCACTTTGGAATTGGGTTGATTTACCCACATGACCTTTTTCTTTTCTTATGAGCCCTGTGGAGGAAGAGTGTAACACTTTACTTACAGTAATAGGATTTTTTAATATCTTTATTTACTTTCATTTCAGGTCCCCACAAAATCAAATTCATCCCATCCATGGTGGGTCCCATTCTGGAGGTCACTCTGACACCCCAAGTAGAGCTCCAGAAAGCCACAATCCCTATTTTCTTTGATATGATGCAGTGTGAGTTCAATTTCAGTGGGAACGGCAACTTCCATATGGTAAGGAGTGGCAGACCCTGTAATCTGACTCGTGCCCATATAGTCAACTCTCCTTTATTTATTTTCTTTCTATATAGAGAAGCTGTAGCCTGAATAATACAAATCAAAGTCGACCTAAAAATTCATTTTATATTTCATTTTGTAAAGCAATTAGCGATATAACCAGAGCCTAGAAGAAGTCTTCTTGCTACACGTCTTTCCTAAAGCAACACTGTCTCTGGATAATTAAAAGCTGACTTCCTGCCTTTTAATTCTGTCTATCTCACAGTATAGCTGAGACAGTAACGAAGCAAATAGAGGAAAACGCCTCTGTTGTAGTGTAGCTTAAGGTATGATGTAATTGAGGTCTAGTCATTTACTCCCTAGTTTTGAAAACTCAGTTTGCCTGGGATATCTTCACCATGCCTCAGTTTCCTTATTTACAAGGTGTATTAANACTCAGTTTGCCTGGGATATCTTCACCATGCCTCAGTTTCCTTATTTACAAGGTGTATTAATACTGTAAGGAAGATTTTGCAGCTATGAAGCTTTAAAAAAAGGATCCCGCTGCCCAGTCTTAAACCAGAAAAAAATAAAAGAAAATTTAAATCATTATGCCATTTTTATATGCATAGTTGTAACAAAAAATAATGTTTTGGATTATATATTTTTTTGCAAATATAGAGCAAAAGACAGAATAACATAAGACTGCATTAGAACCTTTAGATGGGAGCTTGGTTCACATGAAAGATGTGAAGTGTGGTCCTCCCCTGTATATGCTGGAAACAATCACAATTCAGTGAAGAGGTCGAGCCAAAACTAGAAAGATTTGCCAGGTGTCTGTCATGTCTTTTTCTAAGGATGCAACATTCTCCTGTGAAATTCTGACTTTGCTTTCAGTTTGAGAATGAGTTGATCACAAAGCTGGACCAAGAGGTAGAAGGGGGCAGAGGAGATGAACAATACAAGGTTCTTCTGGAAAAACTGTGAGTATTTCAGAAACAAAACCTCAAGGTGGTAGTGTCATTTTGTAACAGAGTCAAACAGGGCTTCTGCTGCACCAACAGGGCCATTGAGTCATCTCAGAAGCCCTGCAGTCGCCCCACCATGGTCCTTGGTGGGGTCCATGATGTTTATCCCATCCACTGCTGACACTGTCTAGCTGATGCTGTAAGACCAGCCCGAAAGCATGAATCTTATTTCTCGGGAAGGCTCATCTCACTAAGACC